TTGGTGTGTTCAGACAGTGACCTGAACTGTGTGGTGAGGTTGGCAAAAGGGCTGCAGCAAAAAACCTCATGCCCTCCTTGGACTTTGACTCTTAGAGACATGTACAAAGTTGTCACAGTGTTAAATCAATCCCTTTGCCAATTTCAGGACAGACACTTTAATGGCACAGGCTTCATCCCCAGACAGATACTCAAGGGCCAGAAAAACCCTTACCTTCCTTCTCCTGGAGCAGGGAGTAACACTGGAGCAGGACTTGTGACAACAGCTGGATGCCTCGCCCACGTGTTCGAGGATCTGTGTTCTCCAGGCAAAACCTAGGCCAAGAGGGGAGAAAGCCCAAGAAGCCTATTGTGAGCAGATACATCTTAGCAGGAAGCACATCCTGAGCAGGGACATTACAAAAACAAAGAGGTGACGCTCTGTGGGCCCAGTCATGCCCGACTTGCTGGCAGAGTGGAAATAGACACTTCTCCCCTTGTCTGTGCTGCATGCATGCACTCAGCCCCAGAACCATGCAAAAGAAATCCAAAGTCTCAAATCAGACCACAGAAATTGCTCTTGCACCATGGTCTCAAGATCACAGGGGTCAAAAAGGGTAAAGCCTCTTACAGTGAGGCAAGTCCAGCCCCCAGCTTGGGAGAAATGAGCCTAGGCCATGATAGTTTGGAGACAAAAGCAGAAGCTGAGTGCCAGACAACTCATGACAATAGTGTTGTGTAGCTGTGTGCTCAGACAGCTCTTGCTGGGGACAGCCCCAACTGAAAAGTGTCAACTTGCTGCCTGCCACAACATCTTGCCTCTGTCCTGCAAGAGCATCAAGAGCTGCTCCGGCCTTGGGAGCTGCCCACGTCCAGGGAGGGCAAAGGACTGCTCAAGCCCCATGCTGTGAGCAGACAACATCCTGCCCACTGCAATGTATCATCCAGTGCTGAAGCTTATCCTGGATGAGCACATTTGTCCTTCTAACTATGCCTCTTTGCATGGCCCTTACCCATATAACTGTATGTATAACTTGCATAAGGTTTTTCTTACCCCAGGGCTTCCACAAGCTGCAGCACTGTCCACCTTCCATCTTTCACCCCTGGAGAAAGGAGATAAAGAGAGTGAAAAAGAGAGATCATGCAAGCATGCTAGTAGAGATGGATGCTGGGAACCATCCCAGCACTGCAGTGGGAAAGGCTGGTTGGTGCTGACTCCCCACTAAGCACCCAAGGAGCCATGTGCACTTAACTGGTGGAGCAGCCTCCAGTGCTGCCTGCAAACACCTGTGAGACTGAGAGCTGAGAAGAGACAGCCAGGGAGAACTTGCCTGCACTTTGCCTCACCCTCTCCCTGCAGCATGGCTGTATGTGTGGCTCCTAAGACAAATCTTACTGTGCTCCACTTCACTGAGATACTAAAACAGCTCTAATGTGAGAGAGCTGTGAGGAGAGGGCAGCTCTCCCGGTGTTTCCTGAGGAAGAACTGGCTGAACAAGCAGCCCAGACACGAGTGATCACTCAGCTTCCCACCTGGACTCCATCACCTCCACACTGTGCTGAGCAAGAACTGCACAAACTTCTTCCAAGATGGAGGGCAGGGAGAAAGGCAGTTTTGTGGTCAGAGGAAGATAAAATGCTGGGATTCCTGGAGTCTGTTTCCAACTCTGACTCAGATTCCTTGCCAGGTTGCCTCAACCACCTCCTGCCTCTGTATTCTTGCAGTTCAACTGGGGGAAGAGTCACCCCTCAGAAGGCTTTGGTAAGGACCTGCTTTTGCTGCACCTTACAAGAACGTTGGCAGAAGGGCAGGTTCTCCATTCCTGCCACCCATTGCCAACGTGGCACCTCTCCAGGACAGCTCTGTGTACGCCCTCTGCACAGACATGGGGTGACAGCAAGGGACTGCCTTACCTTCAGACCCCTAGCCTGCAGCTCAGGTGTAAAGTGATATTGCTGGAAAACAGGCAGCACCCCTCACTCTCTGCCTGGACAAAACAGCATTCCTCCACAAAAACACCCAAATCACCTGGCAGTCACTGAGACTCACTGTCTTTGCCCAGGGGCACTTCTGGGCACTCTGGAAGAACCTGCTCACCTCTCTGCCCTGCTGAACCTACACAACTGACAGGGCACCTACCCTCTCAGAAGCCCAAAGGTTTCATTATGGGCTTTCTCAGGCCTTGTTCCAGCTAGTGTCTCCAGCTGTTGCAAGCATTTACTGTCTCTTCTGAAGCAGTTAATTCCAGTATTAAGACACCCTGTTCATCACAGAGCTGTCTCTAGGAATGGGATGACAGTGTTTTCTGACAGTGTGTTCTGACAGCAGGCAGTTCTGACTCCACAGACAGAGCTTTCAATCCTGCCTGGCACAGCAGGGAGAGGGAGCCTGAACTGAGAAACAGAACAGATAAGTGGAGCTGTGTGGAAAAGAGCCCTGCAGGTCTCAGAATTGACGGGCACAGACTGAACAGGGGGTGCCCTCAGAGACAGCAATAATGTGCTGGCAAAATTTCTTGCAGAATAACAACCGCAAAACAGCATGCAAATGCTGTGCACTAGCCAAAGCAGAATGGGCTGCAGAGAGAGCTTGGATGGCCCCTCCACATCCAGCATCCCAATATCTCGCTCTGCAAGCTCATGAAGAGCCCTTGTGTCTCTGCACCATCACGGAAAAAGTCTGAGAGAAATGCTATCAGTATGGCCAGTTGCTCTGCCTCTCTGTGTCTGCAGAGACCAAAAACAGCTCTACACAAAGCTTCTGGTTCCCTACTCAACAGGGAAGAGCTGCAGTGTGATGGCCAAACCACAGTCAGGTACTGATACTCCCTGTGGCCAGCAGCAGCGAGGTCAGCAGCTCCTTTGCTCAGCTCAGCGAGGGAGCTCCCTCTGTTCTCAAGGACCCAGGTGTAACCAGCTTTGCCTCACATGGTGTGGCCACCCCTCCCTGGCACAGCCTGTAAGCATGGCGTGCTCGTGGCCAGCACCACACAGGCCGTGGCATGAGCACCAGCACAGCTAATTGAACCTGCCTCATCAGCACAACAGGCACAATGGTGAGCCCCTGAAACTGCTGCCTCCACATCTGGCAGCAGCATATATGCCCTAAGGTTAATTAGGCACCTTGAATCCCTTTACCAGGAGGGGCTGCCTTCCTATTCTGGGATTCCTGTAGCTCCCAGAGACTTAACAGAAGCAAGCCATTCATCCTGTGCTGGACTGCTACTCTGAACCAACCTGCTCTCTTCCCTGACAGGTCTGTCCCCCTTTCAGTGTCCTTCTAGATATTAGCCACTTCTGGAGGCCTTCCATTCTTGTTTCCCCCACACCCTCAAAATGTGAGCGCAACATTCACAGGGAACATGTAATGGGTTCTGTAACAACAGTATCCTTCTCTCACCATTTTTTAAGAAAGATTAATTCAGCCTCCTCCTGCCACCCACTGACCCATGCAACCCAACCTGCCTGTGACAGCACCAAGGCCTTTCTGCCATTTGACAAGTTACACTCATTTTAGTCCTCAGCAACAAATTGGGGAAGGTCAATGTTTTTGTTACAGCAATTGAACAATGGCCATGAGCTTAGAAAAGACCTCCCCTTTTGCTCAAGAATACGAAATGCAATTTAATCCTTTCTGATGTGTGGTTCTGTACAAGGTCAGAGGGGCTCAAGGACACTTGCCAGCCCTTCTGTGAAGGTGGGTTTGTCACAAGAGCCACACAGCTGAAAAGAGGTGGGGGGAGCAAGTGGGGAGCAATTCTCTTTGTATGTCTTCCAAGAGACAAAGCTTTCTCCATGCACTTCTGTAACATGAGATCAGGTGACAACAGCAGTTGTAAGGTTATCCTTCCCCATGTCTATCCCAAATACATCAGAGACTGTGCAGCCCTTCTGCAACATCTTGAATGCCACAGTTTAGTGAATTCCTCCTAATTTTCTTGGCATTTTCTTCCCTCTGTGTTACATGGGCCCTTGGGTTACCTTCCTGTTTTGCCAGCTCATCTCATCCCCAAAACACTACAGAGCAGTTCACAAGCCATCAGGCCTTGGGAAAGGCCTATAAGTTACCCATAAGTGTAATGTAACATATATATAGACAGCCCTTCTTGGCTCTCTGAGTTCATTCCCAAAACATGCTGAAGCCACTGCCTCTAAACATAAAAGTATCACCTTATCCTTAGAAAGCCACACTCCTGAAGCTGTAACTTCCCTAATGCAACACCGTCACCCAATTGCTGTTCCAAGCAGAAGGATAAATTATCCGACGAAAGCAAATGCCTCAATCTCTGCTAGAAAAGGGGGAGAAACCACAGTGAGGGCAGTCTGCAACCACCATCTGCCACGGATGCTCAGCAAGGCCATGAGCTCTCTTCCCACTGTCGATTTCTCTGCACCCACATGTGCCTGGAGCCCCTCAGCCTCGCGGCTGTCCCGCTCCTCGGCACGTCTCCTCGGCAGCTCCGAGCTGCAGGCCCTACCCTACCCATTCCCACGTGCCCTGCCCCGCACGGCAGCCTCACAACCCACAGACACGCTCCGTCCCGCGCCTCCAGTCCAGTCCAGTCCACACCCCACCCCGCCCTGCCCTGCCCCACGCTTCCTCCCGAATCCCTCCCCACACCACCACGACCCGCCCTTACCCGTGCCCGTGCCCACGCCCGCCCTAGGCCCAGCCCGGCCCCGCCGCTATGCCCACGCCCAGTCCCGCCCCGCCCCGCCCCCGCCCCCGCGCGGTACCTGCCGCCACCTCAGTGGCGCGGCCGTCCTGCTGCCCGGACACGAAGTCCCGGACGGAGGCGGCGAGAGCCTCCGCCCCGGCCTCGGCCGCCGCCATGACACCCGCGCGCAGGGCCGCGGCCCGGCCCCCCCGGCCCGCCTGCGCGTGCGCGGGGGCGGTGCCGGCAGTCACGTGCTCCTCTGGGGCGGGGCGTCCCCGCGCGCACACCGGGCCCCGCGCGCACGGGCGGGCGTAGCGCGGAGCCGGCGCGGCCCCGATGCCGAGCGCCGCCGGTCGGCCCCGCCATGGGCGGCTGCGTGGGGCGGCAGCGCCGGGAGCGGCCCGCCGCCGGCGGCAACACCCGCAAGCGAGCAGGTGAGCGGGGGGTCATCCCGGCTGGGCACCTCCGCGATCGGGGGCACTGGGGCGGGGGCGTCCCGTGTCCCCCTGGGGTGGCGCGGGAGGAACGTGGGCACCGGAGGAGCGTAGTCCGCCACGGGACAACTTCCCCCCTCCCACAGCCTCAGGAGCCGCTCTGTGCTCTCGGGGTTACCGGACCCCGGGGATGCCGGTTCGGTGCGCGGCCTCGGAAGCGGACGGGAACCGCGGCTCCCGTCCCGGCGCCCCGGAGCCTTCGCGGGGTCAGGGCTGGGGTGCGCAACGTGTCCAGCCGAGCCCTGCCGGTTCCCGGCTTCTCCCGGGTCCTGCTGTCCTGGGAGGTCTGCAGGGTGGCGGATGCCCCCGGTATGGGCTCGGCAAAGTCCCCCGGCGCGTCCTGCGAACGGCATAGTCCTGCCTGCTCGGGGTCGGTGCTACCCCGTACACCTGGCTGCTGCCGGCGGCCGCGACCCCGTCCCCGCTGACCCGGGGCTTCGGGAGGTGCGGGTAGAGCAGGGAGCGGCTACGCCGGTCCGGAGGGCGGCGGCGGCGCGGCGGGGCTGGTGCAGCCCCGCGGCCCCCCGGAGTGACCGGTAGCCGGACACCCGGGTGCCATGAGGCGCTTCCCCGCGATGCCATACCGGAGGGTCCCGGAGGCCGCGGGGATGGGTACGGCGGACTTTCGGCGGAGAAGCCGTGGGCTGGTAGGATGAATCACGCCTTTCCCTTGCCGCCTCCCCGGCCGGTGCCGTCGCAGCCGGTAATTACCGTGTTTATGGCAGAGCGGTAGTGGGCGGCGGGAGAGGAGGGGCAGGAAGCGTGTGCCCGGGACGGGACGCCCCAGCCCTCGCTTGCAGCTGGGATGAGGGAGGGAAGGGCGTTTTCCGTGGGACGGTGCCCGCCGCTCCGGCAGCACGTGCAGGGTGCCGTAGCTGCTGGGCCAGGCTGTGCCCGTGCCTGTGCCGTGGGCAGCCGCCCCCACCGCGCGGGGCTCCAGGTGTGCCCGCCTGCCCCAGAGATGCTCTGATGCTATGGATTGGGATGATAACCGCCCCACCCCGACACACTTTGCCCCCCAGGAGTGCCTTTTTGCGGGTATCGGTGAGGCCTGGGGTCCCTGGCTGACTGTTCCCTCAGCTTGGCAGTATGTGGGGTCATTGCCTTGTAGCTCAGGCTGCTGTGATGGGGCAGGTGTGGGGTAAGATCCCAACATCTGGATCTGTGTGATTCCCTCCCATGCCAGGCAATAGCTGGCTGCAAAGCCTGTGTCTCCATCTCCACTTGCTCTTCTGGGATGGGTCATGGTCCCTTCCTGGTATCTGCTGGCAGCTGCTGCTGCTGCTTTCTTGCAGTATGTCCCTTCTGGGAGAGCAGGGCTGTCCCCTGTGCCAGGTGCTCTGGTTGGTTCCTGCCTTTGCTTGCATGGTGCCACCAGCCCATGGAGGCTGCTCAGCTCCCAGGTGGAGAGTGAAGCAAGGCTACAGCTGCCCTCAACAGCAGTATGGGGATACTGCCCTGGGCCAGCAGGTCCCGGTACATGATGACCTACTATCAGCAGGGAGGGGGGGCTCTGCCTGCCCACCTCTGTTGCCAGAGGGACCCTGCTAGCAGCCTACCTGCCTGGCCAGCTTATGCCCTGGCTGGGGCTTGTTGTGACCCCCTGTTGTGGGGTCCTGCAAGGGCTTCTGGCAGCAGGTGACAGCATTGTCCCTGGGTTGGCCAGCTTACCGCAGCCGGAGCTGGGGATGCCCGTGGCACACAGCATCCCAACCCTGCCTGGCTCAGGAGTGGACCAGCCAGCACTGCTGGAAGCAGTAGTGTGTGCCATCTGGCTGACATCTTCTCTGGGGCCTCCAGGACCTGTCACCTGGGGTTGCCTAAGGCTCCTGTGGGCAGGGAGCAAGCCCAGGGCAGAGAAGCCTTCGGGTCACATCCTCCTGCTGGGGGTCCCTCACCAGGGCACCTCGGGGGGCTGAGCCACAGGCAAGGTGCTACAGGCACAGGGCAGGAGGCAGCAGGCTGCCAGCCAGATCCTGTTGGCTCGAGTCCGGGCACAGCAAGCGGATGGACCTGTCTGGTGGTGCTGCTGTGGAGAGTTGCACAAGGGGCCAGGAATAGAGCAGCAGGAGGTGATTAGAAGGTATAGGCCTGGCTGGGCGGTAGCAATAAATAGACGAGGCATAAGCCCCTGTCTACCTGGGCAAGGCTGCTGGGCATGCCTGTACACACGAGGTAGCCACAGCCTGTCCCTGCTCCCTGCCACAGCTGAACCCCACAGCTCCAATCCTGCTGCCTCTCCTGGGCCAGCCTCTTCCCTTTGCTGCAAGCAGAGCTGGGGCAATGCTGCTGGCTGGGAGTGCTGGCCAGGAGTCCTGGCTGTGAGGACATGTGCCCCAGCCTGGTGGCCAGAGCAGTGTAGGGACATGATCCCAGACATGTCCTTCAGGCTGGCTGTGGACACTTCTCCACTGCCCTCCTGGGGCAGGTGTTGCCTCTGACCTTGTTGTGTCCTGTGGTGCTGCAAATCTCTCTGGCCCAGCACCGTGACTGCTGAATTGGCAGCACTGGCTGCAGCCGGCTGCCCTTGCTCCTCCAGGGATGTGGGCAGGATGCTGCCTGCCAGGGATGCTCAGTGCCCAGCCCTGGGGTAGCTTGCCCCTTGGGGACCCTTGAGGTGGGTGCTTGCTGGAAAGCAAAGGCAATGCTGGCTCCAGTGGTCTTGGGTAGGGTGAGACAAGGCTGGTATCATTGAGAAGGTCATGTAGTGCCTTGTGTCACCACACAGTTGCTCAGGAGCAGCTGCCTGAGGACCTTGGCTGGTAGTGGTGGCTGTCTCTGGTGGCTGAGGTGTGTGGCATCACCTTGCCTGGCAGGTCACTGTGTGGGCACAGGCATCTTCCTGCCCAGCTGGAGCCTCACTTTCCCCTCATCCTGTCCCCACAGAAGGGGTGCTGCCTGGCCAGCTCAGGGAGAGGGGTGACAGGAAGGAGCTGTTGTTATCATTCCTTGTCCCCAGCTCAGCTGGGAGTGACAACAGCTCCTTCCTGCCCCACGTGTCCGGCCTGGCTGTGGGGCTGATGGAACAGGGCTGTTCCCACAGGGCCTCAGCCCAGTGTAGTGAGGGCATGGTGATCCAGGACTGGCATTGGGGTGGCTCATATCCCTGGGCAATGCTGAAGGTCCATGGGGATGTGGTTAGGGGCTGTTTTTGTGGAGAGCCAGCTCAGTTCAGCCCATTGCTGGGCAGCTGCAGTCTGGCAGCGATGCCCCCTGTCCCCCTGATGCCCGGGACGCTGTGTGCCTGCTGTCTTGCCTGCAGCTGGTCCCTGTCATCCTGGGGTGGGCAGAGGGGACGGTGAAGTCCTGACCCCCCTTTGCTGCAGCTCAGCCTTTGTAATCCCCTTCTCGTTCTGACTCACCAGCTTATTTCCTGGCTAATTCTCCAAGCTATAAATACTGCTCTGCCTCAAAGGGCCCCGAGGCCCTATGGCCACCCTACAGGGTAGTGACTGGTCCCCCAAATAAGGAAGCAAGAGCCCTTGTCACCTCTGAGGGCAAAGGGTGGGGGAACAGCTGCTGAGGGACCAGTGGGATCTTGGGCTGGGCTAGCTTTAGCCCAGTTACCCTTTACATTGGGGGCTGTTCTTCACTGGACAGGGTGGTCCCTCAGACCCCTGCTGCCGTGTAGGAGGTCCCCAGGAAGAACCTGTGGGTATGGGAGGTGGGGGGCTCAGGACATGTGGGGAAACCCTGTCCTATGGCTGAATATCCCCCCTCTGCAGGCCGCAATGAGCCCCTGAAGAAGGAGTGTCCCAAGTGGAAGAGTGACTACCCCATGACAGACGGGCAGCTGCGCAGCAAGCGGGACGAGTTTTGGGACACGGCACCCGCCTTTGAAGGCCGCAAGGAAATCTGGGATGCTCTGAAGGCAGCTGCCTATGCTGTAGAAGCCAATGACCACAGCCTGGCCCAGGCCATCCTTGATGGAGCCAGCATTACTCTGCCCCATGGTGAGGGTCAGCACTGGGGGTTTGGGTGGGCTGTGTGCTGACTGCCCCATATCTGGGCACATGGGGGTCCCAAGCTGGAGTAGAGAGGGGCTCCCACCTGCCATCCAGAGCTGAGCCCAGCCGAGGGGAGTAAAGCAGGCTGTGCCACACTGCTTGGGGTGGCCCTGTCCCCTTTTGGGTGGTTCATGGGGATGCCCACCCTTAGCATTTTATCCTGCTGTCCCCAGGGTCCCTGACGGAGTGTTATGATGAGCTGGGCAACCGGTACCAGCTGCCAGTCTACTGCCTTGCACCCCCCGTCAACCTGATCCTGGAGCGGAGCGAGGAGGAGGCGGTGGAACCGGCTGAACCTCTGCCCAATGCCCGGCGGGAGTTCACCCTCAAGGTGCGCCTCTCCACCGGCAAGGACCTGCGGCTCAGCGCCAGTATGAGTGACACCATCGGGCAGCTGAAAAAGCAGCTGCAGGCGCAGGAGGGCATTGACCTGGCCTGGCAGCGGTGGTTCTTCTCAGGCAAGCTGCTCACTGATCGCACACGACTACAGGAGACCAAGATCCAGAAGGATTTTGTTGTGCAAGTGATTGTCAACCAGCCCCTTCCACCCAGGAACTGAGCTACCCCCTACTGGTTGAGGGGAGAGGGCAGGGGGCTGGGAAACAGTGGAGCCTCTGGGGATTCCCTGTGCTGTGTTCTGGCCCATCTGGAGCTGCTCCTGCTCCCCCTGAGGCTGCCCTCCACACAGGTGACCCCTCAGAAGGTCTGCATGGGGCTGTGCCACCACGGTGGCTCCCCTTGGTTGGGGACACGGGCAGGCGCCGTGTTTGCTGAAGGAGGTTCGAGACCAAATGTCTCTGGGGCTGGGGCTCCTCTGCCAGGCTGTGCCGGCAGGGAGAGGCTGTGACCCACTGGGCTCTGGATTCCCCCTGGCCAGGAGACCCGTGGGGTGCTGGGCTGGGTGGAGATGTCTCCCCTCTGTACATAGTCTGTATTTATCAATAAAGCCTTTTCATCCTTCCTCTGGCCTTGGGACAGGCTGGAGGGGGCTGTAACTCATAAGCCTCGGGAGGTCCCTGTGCCTGTCCTGTATAAGCTCCCATGTCAGAATGGGCACAGGGAGGTCAAGGGGTAGCCTGGATGTCCCAGCTCTGCTCCCTAGTGCCACCCTGTCCTGCCAGCCTGCCAGGACCCTTCCCCAGCATTGTCCCGTTGTCATTCCAGCTGCTTCTCCGCCACCTCCATTTCCTGGTGCTTCCCCTCTGGAGGTTTAAGCTTGTGTCTGCCCTTGAGCTAGGTGGGACAGTCCATGGAGGGGACCAGTCCCAAGATGACCTTCATGGCCGCCATGGCCTGCCCTGGTGAAAATAGTGTCTCTCTGCTGTGGGAGGCTGTCACACCCATGGGGCAGGGCACCCAAGGATGGCCCTGGGAAGTGCCCAGGAGGGTAACAGTGACGTGTAGCTGTCTGTCCCTCCCCCAGGTCCTGCGCATGGATGGTGCCCAGCGCATTAACTGTCCCAGCACAAGGCAGTGTTGGCCTCATCTTACAAGGGGGGAGTGCTCAGGAGGGTTGAACAATGTTGTTGCTGCTGGGAATAGCTGCCGGCTCTGCCTGCTGGCCCCATGTCAGGCCAGTCTCCTGCTGCCAGGCTGCCATGTGCTGTGGGGGAGGCCAGGCAGCCTCAGGGACCCTGGCAGGACTGCTCGGAATGTTCCACACCTGAGGTCATCCTCTAAAGCAACACAGAGGGGCCATGACTCCTGGCATCCCATGCTGCCTGCTGCTGGCTGAGAGGCTTAAGGGGACCCCTTGCCTCCCTTTGGGGTGGGCAGGCTACCCCCCAGATCCCTGCCCTGTCCAAGGTGCCAGGAAGCCCTGGGCAATGTTGGTGGCTGCTGCAGCATCTGATTGCACAGAGATGGGGTGATGGAAGTCATGGGAGCATCTTGCTTGCCCAGGGTGAGTGACGCAGGCATAAGTGCCATGCCTATGGGGTGACCCTGGATCTGCTGAGCCTCTTTTGACTGGCTGTCACAGGTTCTGCACACTGCAGCTCCCCATAACAAGCACAGGTGTCCTGGTCAACCCGGGGTGTGTGTGGGGAGTCTCTTTAAGAGAGTGTGGGGCTGGAGAGGTGAGTCAGGGCCACCAGAAAGCAGGAGGGTGAGCTCATGGCAAAGCTGCCCCAGTCATGTGGAGCAGCCACAGCTGTTGGTGCCCTTGGGCTGTGGGACTGCGGGGCCAGCAGCATAAAGCCCCACAGCCGGCGAAGCCACCGGCAGCACCAGGAACCAGGACTAGGAACCCCTGCCCGTGGTAACAAGAAGAAGACACATCCTGCACAGGACTGTGCACTGTGGGCAGACATGGAACTGGATGTGGAACGGGCCAAGGAGCTCATCGAGCAGAAGCTGGCAGAGGAGGAGAAGGAGGAGGTGGGTCCATAGGACAGGGGAACCTTTCTGGGCTGTAGTAGGAACCCCCATTGTACTCTGTCCATCCTTAGGGATGTGAAGAGGCTGGCACCGACCTTGCCATCCTGGGGGATATATGAAAGTGTCCAAGGGCTCTCAGGGGGATCAAGTTCCAAGCCCAGCAGCTCTAGCCCAAGGGGCAGAACTGAGCAGCCAGCATGTGCCCAGCTTACCAAGCAGGGTGGGCAGGCAAGCGCAAGCCCAAGGGCTGCCAAGCATCCCGCAGACCTCAGCAGCAAGTGGAGCCATGCCCAGAGCCACCTTCCCCAGCAGGCTGAGGATGGAGGGAGTGGGGCTGCTCTGTGCCCAGACAAGACCATGCAGCAGCTGCTGTGCCTGTGCAGAAACTCAAAGGGGATGGTGCACGGGAGCCACCGGCTGTGGAGCGGATGAACACACCTGAGCTGGAGGAGGAGAAACACTGTGGTCCCAGGAACTGGGGCCTTGAGGCCATCAAGGTGAGTGGGTTGGGGTGCAGGGTGCCCAGGGGTGGCTGGTGACAGACATGTCAAATGGGGCACTGTGTGTGCTCACCAGGGCCAGGAGAAGGTGCGGAGGAGTTCAGTGGACCTAAGGCGGGAGATCATTGACGTGGGGAGCATCCAACGACTCATTGAGCTCCGCAAGCAGCGCCGGCAGCGCCAGGCAGAGCGGGCGGCCACCCCCGAGCCCACTCCACCACCTGAGGCCCTGGAGATTGTACGTCAGGGGGTCCCAAGATGCGGGAGGGGGGCTGCTGGCATAGTTGCTGGACCACCCACAGACCAGTGCCCTGGTCACCCTGCCACTCAGAAACCTCCCTGGGGAAGCAGGGCAGGGGGCCCCCATATTGTCCTCTCTCCTGCACCCCTGTGCTCCCCAGCTCTGAGCCTGTCCCATTGCCAGGATGGTCCTGTGGAGCCAGAGACCTTCCTGCGAGCTGCTGTCCAGGGCAAGATGCACGTCATCGAGAAGTTTCTGGGTGATGGTGGCTCCCCTGACACATGTGATGAGGTAGCATCCCTGGCAGCCACTGGTTGCCCCCCACATTGTGTCGTGCCACCAAGTCCTGCAGTTGTGCCCACCATGCCTGTGGGTGAGGGCTGGGAGGCTTGGCACAGGGCTGGGGGTACAACCAGACTGGGCAGGGGAGGATGCATCCATCCGCCAATGTGCCACCCTGTCTCCCAGTTCCACCGCACGGCCCTGCACCGCTCCTCGCTGGAGGGACACATGGAAATCCTGCAGAAGCTGCTGGACAGTGGGGCCACTGTTGACTTCAGGGACCGGGTGAGGCTGAATCCTGCTTCCAGCTGCACGCTGGTCTGAGCATCTGGGTGTATTGCAACCAGAACTACAGCAGCACTGGGGACCCTGCAGTGGGGCAGTGCTGTCCCCATCACAGAGGTGGCTGCAGGCAGGGCTCTGCCAGCTCACCTCAAGCACAGGGACCTTCTGGGGCAGGGGACAGACACAGGGTAGGGGTGTCCCCCACCGTGACACAACGCTGTATGTCCAGCTGGATTGCACTGCCGTGCACTGGGCCTGCCGGGGTGGGCACCTGGATGCTGTTAAACTGCTGCAGGACCGTGGGGCAGACCTCAATGTGAAGGACAAGGTGAGCAGGGCAGAGCAGGTCACAAGGTTGTGCCAGAAGCAGGGGCATACCCTGGAGTATGAAAGCTGACCCTCTGTTGGGTCCTGATCCCCCCTGATGTCCATCTCATCCCCCCTCAAGCTGCTCAGCACACCCCTTCATGTGGCCACCCGAACTGGACACCCTGACATTGTGGAACATCTCATCCACTGCGGGGTGGATATCAATGCCCCAGACAGGGTGAGTGCTGCAGCCATGCAGGCATCACTGGGGGGCAACACTGATCCCCCTCCCTTTGCTGACCCCTCCAAGGGCTTCCAGCACCTACAGTAGGGCACATCTGGACACACACAATCCTGCCCCAGGGTGGTTGCAGCCACAGCCAGGTCTGGGACAGGAACAGTCCCCCTTATCCATGTGGAGGTTGGTGTGCTGGGGGCTGGAGAGCAGTGCTGGAGACAGGCAGAGGGTCCTTGTCCCTGGACTACAATCTCCAGTGAAGCTGTGTCTCCCACAGGAAGGCGACACAGCGCTGCATGATGCCACACGGCTCAGTCGCTACAAGATCATCAAAACGCTGATCCTGCACGGGGCTGACATGATGGCCAAGAATGAGGTGAGTGTGTGGAGCCAGCACTGAGGCCATTTGCTGCCCCACCATGTTGCATCATCCTGTGCCCAGCCTCTCTCTGCCCACTCTTGCAGGCTGGCAAGACCCCAACAGACCTGGTGCAGCAGTGGCAGGTGGACACACGCCAGGCGCTGGAGACCAAGGAGCAGCCACAGGGGGAGATGGAGGTCCCTGCATGATGGCACCAGGCAGGGCCAGAGGCTGGGCTCAGCTCCAAGGAGCAGGATCCAGACAAGACTTGTCTGTGTCAATAAAAGTCGGCAAAGAGCAGCATTTAGTTCCAGATGGCTTTGAGGTTGGGCAGCCTGCACTGGGGCTGACGGGCCTGGGAAAGCTGGGTTATCCTGGGACAGGGTTATCTGGCAGCATGGTGAGCCCTGCCTCCTATCACTAGGACTCAAGCACTGGTGACACCAAGTGGTTCAAGGACAGGACTCCTCATTGCAGGACATCCTGATTGCTCACAGTCCTTCAAAGTCCCACCTGGGCAAGCTCTGGGAGGAAAAATACATGGACAGCTCAGCCTAAGTCCATGTTGTGCTGGACTCAGCACAACAGCTGGAGGCTGGGGCTGTGCCAGAGAGCAGCAGCTGTAGCCATGCTGGACAGCCACTCTGTGGGGTTGGATGGCTTCTTGTCTTTCTGTCTTTCCTGCTGCAGCCATGGCTGGGGAACATGCGGTTCCTTTGCACACATGCTGAGTGCAGTGCTCACTACTCCCTATATGGAAATGCTCACACTCACCCGTTTACAGGAGACCCTACACTGACAGCCAGATCAGGTGATCCCTGACCAAAGCCCTGGGACTGCTTGCAATGCCTGGTCCCTCCCTGGTCTTGCAGCCCAGCCCTGGACGAGGCAGAGGGATGGCTGCCAGGGTTGGCAAGCAGAAGGGAAAGCATGGCCGTGGTGACCAAAGCTCACCTGGAGGGGCGCTGAGCTCCTTGCAGCCAGCTCCTGGAGGGGGAAGAACATCCTGAGCTCATCTGGTACCACCCCCCCATGTCATCTGCCCAGCAGGGTTGCGGGTCCCTCACGTGCCCGGTCAAACATTAACAGCCCCTCGGCGAGGCAAGCAGCACAGCCAGCGGCCTCAGCCAGCCACCATGGCATTCAGCACCCGCCTCGCCTCCTCCCTCCGGCCTGTCCTGGCAGCTCTGCACTGGGCAGCCCCCAGGCAGTGCCGGGGGCTCAGCACCCCCCAGGGATCAGAGCCCTCACTCAATCTTGGGGGTATCTTCCCACCCCTCGCCACCCCTTTCTCACCCACGCAGGAAGTGGACTATGCCCAGCTGGAGGGGAACCTGTGCCGCTATGCCAGCATCCCTTTCCGAGGTAAGCGCTGCCCACTGTCCTCCATGCAGGCTCCAGTCGGATCCCTGACTGCCACAGAGGCTGTGTGGCAGCATGCAGGCAGCCTGCCAGCTTCCCAAGGGCGCTCAGCCTCCAGCTGGACTTTGCTCTGGGGCTGGCAACCCCTTGGGTCACCCACCTGGGGCCCTTTGCGTGGCACGTGCCCAGGCACATGAGTGTGTCCTTGCACACCCCCACCACATGCCAGCACATGCTTGCACACACACTCCACACATGTGCAGGCTTGCACGCGTGTTCCACACATAGCTACAGGCTTGAACCTATGCACTGCACTCCTGGGCACCCTCTCAAAAATTCATGGGATATGTATCTGTCCATTGCCAAGGATGGGTAGATGACAGGAGACCAGCTGCAGAGGAGGCTGTGGCCTCACAAGGATGCTCCCCAGAGTCTCCTCTCTTCTGACCAGGAGGCTGGGACTGCAAGGACGTAGGCAGGAGAGGGCACGCTGCAGAGCTTTGCCTGGGTGTCAGCAGCAGAGAAGGGAGTGAGAGTAATGGGGATACATGACAGTTCTGGCACCCTTTTCATGTGCCTGAGCCCTGCCCTCCCTACATTTGTGTTCCAGGGCTGGTGGCGCTGGGCTCCAACGGGGAGTATCCATACCTGGCATCCCGTGAGAGGGTGGAGGTGGTGAGCTGTGTGCGCCGGGCTCTGCCCAGGGACCGCTTGCTGCTGGCTGGCTCGGGCTGCGAATGTGAGTGCCTGTGTGGGGGGCAGTGCAGGGGCCATTTGTCCCCCCCTGGGGCACCCCTCACCCCTCTTCCTCCTCCCCAGCCACCCAGGCCACCATTGAGCTGACAGTCAGCATGGCAGAGGCGGGGGCTGATGTGGCGCTGGTTGTGACACCCTGCTATTACCGGGGGGCCATGACCACTGCTGCCCTGGTCCATCACTACACAGAGGTGAGCCGTGTCCAGTGCCTGCCAGCAACTCCAAGTGGGGCAGCAGGATACACACCTCCAATGTATCCCCAGCCCATCTCAGCTACTGATATCTGCCTGGCTGCCTGCAGGTTGGCGATGCATCCCCCATCCCTGTGGTGCTGTACAGCGTCCCTGCCAACACCGGCCTGGACCTGCCCATGGAGGCTGTCATCACCTTGGCTCAGCACCCAAATATCATTGGGATCAAGGACAGCGGTGGGGACGTGAGTGGGGCAGGACTTTCCCAGGGCTGCTTACCACCAAACCTGCACCTAAGCTGGGAATGGGGACCTGGGACTTGCAGCCCTTCCCTGGACCCCAGGGCTGCCAGCAGGCACCCTGCAGCACGGGGGACTGGGTGATGCCTGCCCCAGGGCATAGCATGTCTCTCCCCAGATCACCCGCATGGGGCTGATGGTCCACAAGACAAGGCAGGAGGATTTCCAGGTGCTGGCAGGATCAGCCAGCTTTCTGCTGGCAAGCTATGCCGTGGGTAAGTACAGCTGCCCATCCTTGGCTGGGGGCACTGGCAGGGGGAGGCAGGTGAGAGGCTGGGAGGTGCTGGGCAGGCACAGCATGCTGAGCTGCCAATGTGTCCTGGTGTCTCTAGGTGCCTCTGGGGGTGTGTGTGCCCTCGCCAATGTTCTGGGTGACCCATTGTGTCAGCTGGACCACCTGTGCCGCAAGGGCCAGTGGCAGGAGGCCCGTGACCTGCAGCACCGCCTCATTGAGCCCAACACGGCGGTGAGCAGGCAGAACCCCTGGGATGCTGAGGGGAGGGGGTGCCAGGCCATGACAGAGGCAAAGAATGGAAGTCCCTGGGGCTGCAGTGGGTGGAGGGACGGTTCAGGGGGACAGCACCTTGGCCAGAGAGTTGAGACGGGCTGGAGGTGAGAAGGTGGGAAGTGTCAGCCCTGTCATATTAAGAAACATCCTGTCCACTGGCACCGGGCACTGCCTGACCCTCCGTGAGAGGCTTGCTGGCTATTTATAGGCAGTAGTGTTTGTGGGGGAAGAGCTGCTCCTTCCTGGGCCCCTCATCCTACTATGGAGTGGCCTTTCCCTGCTGCAGAGCCCAATGTGCCACAGAGCTCCTGTGCAGAGTCCTGTGTGAGTGTGCTCTGCACCCCCACCCCACAGTGGGCACTTCTTGGGGTGCTGCAGCCACCTCACACTCTGCCAGCCTGGCAGCCCCACATGGGGAGGCCAGGAGTGATGGCAAGCAAAGGAGAAGAGGCTGCACAGCAGAGCCCAGAGGCCATGC